TTATAAAATTATAATTCCGGCCGAATATTTCAATCGCGAAATTGGCTGATCCGATATCGAGTTTACTTAGCTCATTGGTTTTGTCTAGTCGCAAGGAATATAGAGCGATATTGGGCGATGGTTTATTTTTTAATTTTATATATATAAATAATCATGTGATATTTGATTTCATTTCGACTTTTGACCTTCCAAAATCTATTTAATCAATAATCATAACTTTAAAAAAAAATACTATATATATTAAATAAAATTATAGCGAAATATTCGTCATAACGTAATGAATATATTCATTATATATTATACCAGATTATTCGTTATATTATATCAACTCAGACTTAAAGTTAATAGAATTTCAAACGTTTATTTATGACCACGTGATTTTATCTTTTCATGAGTTGGGAATGCAATAATATTAGCACTTATAAATAATGCATTTCAAAATTAAAAACATTTTATTTATTACGAAATATAAATAATTGTTCAAGAGGTTGTAAATAAAAAAAAATCCTAAAATGAAATAAATAAATTTTAAATCAAGCTTCGTTTTTTAAGATTTGAAATACTTCATATTCTTCTATTGAGAAGATTTCTTGGGTATCTCTTATCTGTTTTTCATATCCATCTTGATAGCAATAATTATAATTATAATCTCTTTTATCCGTGCTTGATACATAAAGATCATTACAAAAGGAAGGACCGCAATGATCGTAATAAAATAATGCTACATCTATAATGTCTATATGACTTATAATTGGACTTTTTAAACTATTCGTATTCTTAAAAGAAAATATAAAACTATCCTTAGTTTGACCCCATTCGCCACGAAGATTTTTGGATTTAGATTTCTGCCATATTGAAGGATTATATCCCCCGAGGATTTCATTTGTTTCCTTTACTTTAATGAAGGTAACTGTATGAGGCATATTGTCACATAATTCATGAAACTTTTTAGGAGTAAACCCATCCCGACTTCCCCTTAATAACAATTTAAATTGATACGGTAAATATAACTCTCTTGCGTAAACAAATTTGCTTTTAATATCTAATTTATCAATCCATCTTGAAATTATGGAAACGATATTTAAATCAACAATCTTTGTATCGATAATTTCATTATCAATTCTACACCTAGGGAGCAGAATACCTTCACTTGGTTCACTACTAGGATTCAAATAAGAGTTTAATAAATCCTCATAAAGTTGAAGGTTTAAAAGTTTTTTATAAGGGTGAACCTTTTGAATGAATTCTTCGGAGGATAAACTAAAAAACCTAATCAAGGGTAAACAATTTTGTAAAGTACTTTCCATTATTTTGAAATCATTATCCGACCAAGTAATAGGATTCGAAATGAGCGTAGGATGTTTTTGAAGACCCCATTCTAACATATGTTCCCAAATTTCAACTTCTTTCATAACTAAATCGTTCCTTTTAAGAAGTGAAATTAGAGATTTTTCGGTAATAGAAGTGAAGTCGAGTGACCTAAACACTTTTTCGGGTGATTTGGACATCAAATCCGTGCAAAATTGTTGAAGTTCCGATAAAGAATTAAATTGCAAGCTCGTCATACGAATGAGCTCAAAATGTTTCTCCATCCAATCGGATTTTTTTTCAATTAAATACTTTTGCAAGTATTCAACTAATTCCAGAAGAAGAAGTTCGTTGGCAGTGATCAAAACTTTCAAAATATCCAAAGGTTCATATTCATTTAATGAAATGATCCCACCATAAATATATCTAATTTAAAGGTTATTATTATTATAATTTGAAGTATTAAGAAGATAAAATAAAAGATTTTTTTTTTTAAAAAAACATAACTTACTTTAAAATACTTTGAAAGATTTCTGGTAAAATATTTGGCAGCTGAATTAAAACGTCGACTTTATCTTTTTTATTGGCCAAAATTCTTCGTAAAAATGGAGAACGGTGACGCAAAATAATCATGTGCGCGCGGAAAATTTTTACGTTTTGTCCTTTCCCAACTTCGATTGTAATATCATAATACCCACCATCATCTAACATTTCAATATAATTTTGACTTAATTTGGGAAAAAATTGTGCTGACATTTTATATATATTTGAAAAAGTAAATTTCAAAGAAATGAAAGAAAAGGAAACCGCAAAAAAAAAAAAAAAAAAATCTAATCTTGTTCTGTAGTTATTTATATTGGTAAAAAAACACACTCAGTTCAGTTAACTATATTTATTATAGTCGGGTGCTTTCAAATTTGTATCTATTCCCAAGATATTATTCAACAATCGAATTCAGGATGCTTTTATTTATGACGAGCCCAGGCTAGACAAAATGTCAAGACAATTTCGGTTAGAATCATTTCGTTGACATATGATCAGCATACAAAGTACTTTGCTCGTCAAAAGATCAGCATATTGTTTACAAAACACCTACCTAAGGATTTAACAACAAAAAAGTTGCCATTTCTACTTTATAGATGGTCTAAACTTTAAGAATTTCTGGAAATTTTGGTATTGAGAATTATGAATAATTAATTTTAAATAATAATCAAATATATTTAATATTTAATTCATTAATCAGTTACTTTATAGATTTATAAAAAAGAATGGATTCAGAATTACTGGAAATTTTGGAAAATAATAATCATGTATATGTTTTTATTTGATTTATTTATATTTTACAAAATCATTATTTATTAATAAGACATATTTTAGGTTTATTTAAAAATATTAACAATTAGTAACCTTCAATAAATCGAATTACAGTAAAAGAATATGTTATATTAATACTTGATCAAAAAATCGTTCAATTAACAATAATTATGAATTAATAAAATAGTATATTAAATTTATAATTTCTTTAACTTTGTTATTTTATTATATAAAGGATGGGTTCTTCCATAATCTTTTTAATTGCTGCTGGAAACATTTGTTATGTTTTAAAATTTCATAATTATTTTTTTTTCTTTGAAATTGATAATGTCACTTACGCTATTGTTTATTTGCTGTAATTTAAACTTCTTTTCTTTGTCCATCAATTTGTAGGAATCTTTAATGTTAACCTTTTGATTTTTTTTTAAGTTAAATCCATCTTTATATCTTTTAATCTTTTATTTATTCATTCATTTATTTTGTGAAGTGTCATAAATTTTCTTTTTTTTTAAGTATTTATATATTATTTCTTTTTTTTTTTAATTTATTATATAAAATTTTAACACAATCTTATATTTCTTTAATAAATAGGTTCTATAGTTTTGGTTTACAGATTTAAAGTCATTTTTTTTTCATTTATATAAAATTGATTTCATTTTAAACAAATTCTTTCGTGCAATACTACGCGATAACTCGATATAAAGTTATTATACTGTAGGTTGGCAAATGACTAATGAGTCAATTAAAGATATTATATCATGTGATTTTATATAAATTTAAAAAAAGATTATCCCATAAAGTTACCCTCCAAAAAAATTAATAATTGAAAACCTTTTATAAGTTGATCTTTAGCGAAATTGCTGCCCGCTAGTCCGGAAACCAAATTTAATATGCCAGTGAAATTTAATTTGGCCTGTTGATAAATAAAATATCGTGATTTTGCTATCACATTATACTTTATTCTCGGAAGTTTTGATGTGACGTTCTTTTTTATTTCGATTTTTATTCCTGAGAAAATTTATCGTTAACGCTGGTTGCTTTTTTTAAAAATGTGTATATTTTTTAAATAAATGAGCAAGTAAATGGGAAATTTTTGTTTCTTTGGATTAATATTTTATTATATTTTAAGTAAGATACTTGATCTTTGAATATAGAGCAGAGAGAATTGAAATCATTACTTTATATAAATGAAAGGTTTTGAAACCGATTAACTTTTTTAGTTTTAAACGAATTTGATTTCATATTTTTCAAATGGCATTTTGAACCACGATGTCCTTTAAAATTGCTTTAAATTTTTTTTAGTTAAGTAAGAATAAGATGAACAATTAAAATACCTGCAATGATCATTGCTTCTTTATTAAAGGCATGCTGGAACGTATTCTTAAAGCAACAAGTCAACTGCAAATTTATAGCTCTGTTCATTTCTCGCTGAAGTTTTCCTCTCGGTCTCTTTTTTTCGAAGGCAGTATTGCATAACTTATCGAATGATGGATTGTAAGAAATGCTTTCATATTAAAAATCATTTACCGTTATATGGTATTAAGCAAAATGCTTCATGAATTATGATAAAAAAAAAATTTTTTTTGAAGGTATCTCCTTTCGTTAAGAAATCGTAAGATACTATAACTTTTCATTTTCTCATCTCATACCTGTAGAATATAATGAAAAATAAAAAGAGATTAGAGGACAGTATCAGAAAGAGAAAAAACGAAAAATTAACAATAAAATAAAAACTACTAATTTCAAAAATGAGTGTTCAAAGGTTTTGTTGCTTCCTCAAAGAAAGGCGTGTGAAAAGAGACCAACTCCTCGAAGGAATTTTTCACGTGTAAGGCAAACACTTCTAAGAGGATGAATAAGCAATTCTAGGGAGCGTCTGTATCCAAGTACTAAACCGTCGCTCTTAGCTTAATACTAAGGATACCACCAGAAAATGCTTCTCCTTTTAAAGCTAAAACCTATTTACTAACCACATCCTTAAACAAAAGCAGTTAATGAAGAAATGTGAGGTGAGGACACGATTAGAAGGAAGTAACTAAAGGGAAGTGATCACTATTTACACAAACAATGGCCCTTTACCACCTGCCTTGACATCGTTAAAGGAGAAATAAAAAAAGATACTTCCCATAAATAATTGCCTTACTACAGGTATCCGTATCCGCTTCTAAGCACCTGGACTGTGAAAAATTAACATTAAGAAACCACTATCTGTCGCTGAGATAACAAAGCATTGAGTCTATCGTTCCAGTAAGTCTAACTATATTTCGCGAATATTGTTGAGCTCGTAACCAGAATTGAAAACTATTACAAGCAAAATCCCAATCAAAAGCGTGAAAAATGTTGGAGAAGTGCGTTTATAAAAACAATTAGAAGCAAGAATGGTTTCGTCAAAAAGAGAAAGGAACGACCTCGTAAAGATAAATTTTTTAGCACTGGGTAATACTTTAAAGTTTAGCAAAGATGGAATGAAGAATACGAGGAGAAGAGGAGAAGTGAAGGGGCTGAGAGGTGAAGAAGGGAAGAGGGAAAGAGGGGAAATATGATTCTTTTATACTGTAATGAAAGAAAAAATGATGTAATATCTGTATAGATATTTTTAATCTATCCCATATTTATTATTACTTAATTTAGAAGTATTAAAAATTTATCCACTTCTCCTGCAGCATGTTCTCGTGTTAGTTCGCTTAAGTTTTCGATCTTTGGGCTAAAAAATTTTCAATAATTGCGCTACATTACATTTTGACGCATTACTTATTTTTTTTTTTTTTTTTTGAAAGGACAACAAATACTAAACTTTGAAACATATCTCATAGTCCTTACTTCAAAACTTTGTCTTTACTTATTGATTTATAAAAAAAAATATTGAAGATTCTTATCATTGCCAAATTTAGATGCATGTAATTGCATACTATAAAAAGCACATACATAAATCAGATTATGAAGTGAATACTTTTTACAGTAGCGAAACATGAGTTTTTACCTGTACTGAACTTAAAATGAATTAATTAAAAAATCTTTTTTTTTATGTTAGATTTACATTACAGTAATATATGATTCTATCTTTTTTTAAAAAAATTGTAAGCTAACAACTCTGACAATTATATTGTATTGCTTATTATAAATACAACAGTTAATTATTAATAATCGAGTTTTTATTGATGTTCAGCGTCTCATAATTCAAAACAAAATTTATTATTTAAAACAAAATCAAAAAAAAAATCAAGCTGATTATATTTCAAAACTTATCTAATAAATTTTTAGACTTATATAAGAAATTCAATTATTTCAACATAAAATTTTCTCTTACCATACTTCTCATCCGAAGGTACCCATTCCAAAATTAATATCACATCCAACTCGAATCTTGATCCATCAAAGATCTCTTCTAAGGTAATAAATTCAACCGAATTGTTTTTTATTATAAGAAAGCAATGTTCCTTTGGTTAGCTTATTTTTTCTCCTAAATGTTTTAATAATCTTTGCGAACTTCTGCATGTGAAATCCGAATCAAATGTTGATCTTCAGCAAAAAATAATTAAACTTAACATCTAAAAATCTATATAAAACAAACTTTTGGGCTTTGCCTTTGCAATGCTATAAAAAATATTGAAAATTAAAACTAAGTTATTCAACGAGAAAATATGAGCATTGAAAAAAATTTTATAGATTAATTTTTCGTCAGTTAATTTTACTTATTAAAAATTTATTTTTATTATTAAATAAGTACGACAAATATAGAACTTAACATTTTTAAGATGAAATTGTCCAATAAATCCAATTAATTGAAAGTACTTTTCTTGAAAGATGAAAAGAGTGCGGAATTTACGAAGGATGGAGCATTATCTGATAAATAATGTAAAGATAATAAAGTCTGCTTTCTGATAGTTATAACTACAGTATATCTTCTGCTTAAATGCATTATAATATCTGCTGATTGTGTCCCAATTACAAACCTATTCTTATCAGTCAATCCTAGTACATATCATCATAGCTTTGTCTCATCATCTCTTGCTCGGTACATGGATGTTTCAATTAAACATGATATCAAGTCAATCCTGATCGATCCTAAACTCTATCGGCAGTTGCTTAGAATGCAGATTTTCCACGAGGGAACGTTACGTTGGTTACAAGTTCAAATGCAAGATATTCGGACATTAATTTCAATATTCGAATATGCAAAATATCGTTTAGTAACGTGAATAAAACTTTGGGATATAAAAATATCAACATAGGATCAAGTATTGATTTTCGCCATAAGCCTTGACCTTGAAATGACCTCATTTATTATCATTTTCAAGTCAAAATGACCAATGTCTTTTTAAAAAAATAGTATATGGTCTTATAATTTACCATCACGATGAATCTATTTGGAATTCGATATTTCAGAAGAAAAATTCCACAATATTATTGCTCGATATAACTTGTATCAACAAAATCAATGATATCATATGTTTCATAAATTATTGAGCTGCATCTTGCGTCCTTATTGAACTGGTGGTATCTTTGATTATATTTTGGTTCAATTTCATTTTTAAATTCCTGTTTGCAGCCCGAACCGTAACCGACTGATTATATAGTAGATGCAAACTTGTTGGATAAATAAATTAGTAAAATTCAATAACGATGATGGAAAATAAAACCGTTTATCTTTTTTAGTGTTCGTTCTTCTCCTGTATTTTATTTGTTCAATAAATGAGATATCACAGTTTATTTTCATAGTCCACATGCAATTTCCCTGTGAATAATCTTTTGAAATGATCGGCAAAATTTTGGTTAATCAAATCCTCCTCGTTGTTTATTAGTTTATCTCAAGTTAATTATTTTTTCTCACTTCTAGATATCATGCGTTTAACAACTTTACTTGTTTTTTTTAATAGGATTTTACATTTAATAAAATAATAGCGGCTTTCAAAATACAGTAGGTAAGTGTGTTTTGTCCTGCTAAATTTTTTGTGTAAATTACAAAGAGAAGAAAGAAATCGATATACTTTTTATGTCGGCGTAATTTTTGTGGATTGGGTTTGCCTTGCCTTAAGTTTTTTTTGTTTTTCTTCTGTTACTTTACTAAGTGTTAATTTTCACTGGGATTATGAAATGATAATAAATGGTTCACGTGTATCGTGAGATAGTATATATATGCTTATATAAACTGGGTTTGACAATGCATATGATTTGCTTATATTATTTTACTTTGACTGGACTGGAAAACATTTGGATATAGAAATACCAAGAATTTATGGATTATTGAATGTATTTTAGACATGGTGTAATTGAATTTTTCTATGGACTTGGTTTTTTTTTATTTTAATTAATTTCTTTTTTTTACTAACCTTTGACAGTGGACTAAATAAGTATCTAAAGCTGAAATAGTATATAGGATAAATTTTCTGTGGATTGGATTTGTCAGATAACTTTCTTAATTAAATTGAAATTTAGGGACATGTGAATATTATGATAATTAAAATTTCTGTGGACGTGTCTTTTTTTAATTTCAATGAATATATACATATATAATTCTTTGTCTAAATAACCCTTTGATTGGACTGGATAACTGCCTTAATCGTAATGTATATTTGAATACATTTTTTTATGGATTGGGTTTGCTACGATTTTAGTTTATTTATTTTATTTTATATAATAACTCACGTTTCTAATTCTTTGAATGTACTGTACTGGATATCACCACTTTTGGATCTTGGTTTAATGAGCAAATATAATATTAAATTTTTGTCGACTGATTTACCGGATACTGTAGAATAATAAGTAGTATAGGTGTAATATTGAGTATGCTATAATTTGAATTTAATTTATTTAATTTTTTTTTTTTTATAACTTCTTTACTAACGCGCGTGACTTGATACCTTTTGAAAATATCGATAATTACTAACTGGGTTTGCATGCTTTTATTATTTTTCTAATATAGTTATTTTAATATGGAATAATGGAGAAATATAAAGGATTGGATTTGAAAGTTCTGGTTTTATGGATGTGCGAATGATTGATTACATTTATATGACGAGTTAACTAAATAGAAAGTGCCGATTTAGAACTAGGATAATGTGAATTTGTCATAAGAAATACCGTATATAACATAAGTTATTTATTTTATTATTGTAAATTTAAACAGGAAACATGGTTTGATTTGTTTTATTATTGTTTCATTTATTTTTAAATTTTTTACACTTTTTACTAATATACATATAATTGAATCATGTTGGAAGATGTGAAGTGAAATATTTATTATTTTGGTGATGTCATTTGATGAAAGAATAATTATATTGTTGACTTGGAGATATTTTATGGATATTAGACGGATTTAATTTTATTTTTATTATTTATTGTTTTAAGATATTATTTGAATTAGAAATGGATTTTTCGAACATAATAGGAATTATGGCTTGATTTTGACAATTTTATTATTTATTTATGTTTTTTTTTTAAAAAAAAAGCCTCTTACTAACATCATTATTACAATAAATTTATTAGATGGAAAATTTATCGATTAAGAAATTAATTGATTAATAAATAACACTGGAGTTTTATTAGATTATTGAATGTAGATACTTTCTACGATTGAAGTATCAATAGGAATCCGGTTTAATTTATTATGGTCTTTCGTTTTCATTATCAACACGTTTTAATATAATATAATTAATCATAACTGTGTTAATTTTTTGCTTAAATCTTCAACTATTATATATGTTATAATGAGATATTGATAAACATGATCTAAATACTGTATATAATTGTATTAAATCTAATTTCTGTATTAAATTAAATATAAAAGAATATAATTTATTTATTTTGAATATTTTACTACCTTGAAAGAAAGACTGAAAATAATTGAGTAATTAGCTGTATATTGAATTATTTTTATATTTAGAAATAAATTTTGCAGCAAAAGAGTGATTGTCAGAAGTAATTAAATAGTATAAATGTTGAAAATCTATGCAATTACTTAATAGTGTGGTTGGTTATTATTACCAGAGACAAAATAACTAGAAAATTCATCTTTACATTCTGCAAAATGTGTAACTTTAGAGGCAAATAGAAAAGAATTTCCGGGTTGATTTATTATGGCCGTGGCATCAATATTTCCTCCTCAATGTACCTGTTGCAAATGCAAAAAAATCAATTCCCTGATTAACTTAAGTTTTGATCATTAAGTCCATTAGGTTGGAATAAGTGTTTATTCACTTCCATTAGCTCACTTTCCTCCACAGTTTATAACGAGAGTATATAATATTTGGAATATAGTTATCTTTATTTATAATCATTGGTGGTTATTATGAACCAATGATATATTCTTATTTGATAGACTTAAAAACTTTGAAAATTATTATTATTTTTATAGAGGAGGTACTAATATTACGAGAGAATTTGTATTGGATGCGATGCATTAAATTAGTTTATTGCTTCTGTTAAGAAACAATTAACTTTAAAGATTAATTTAATTCTAAATTACCAACCGAATATTTATTAGATATTTAAGATATATTTAACATTGTAATTATATCATTTAATTTTCATATTTGAAAAGGGCGTATTCGAAAATCCGTTTATAAAAAATAATATAAAATTTGATATTCGAATATCAGATATATTATTATATCATATTTCACTGTGGTGTAAATGTTTTTTGATAGCATTTTACATGCTTGCTATATTTAGGGATCGTAAACTCTGTATAATTTTAAGCATAATAATTATAGTACGCTGGTCTCTTATTTCAATGATCAGAGCATTTGCTGAAAAAAATGTTTTACTAGATTATAAAAATATTGATAATGTAAAAAATTTAAAAAATAGTTTTGTGCATAACTCTTGTATTGAAATAAAAGTTTTGTAAAAGCAATTTTTTGTCGATATACCATCCAAATCATTTTATTGAATTTCTAATTTATATAATTTATTAATTATTTTATTATTTAGTTTTTCCTAAGAAAGGTATTATTAAAAAATAGAAATATATACATAAATTCTTGTACATTTAATGAATAAAACAAGTTTCTCTAATTTTACGGATTTCGTTAGTAATAATTTCTTTTTTTTAACTTAAAAATTCCTTTAAATCGCAAAATTCAAGATTGTTATAGTTATATAATTGCATACATATGAGACCACGTGTATTAACTTTTGTGTTCGAGGAAATTCTTAGGGAGGAGGAAAACGGCTGATCAGTACGGTTCGATTTTGCAGATCAGTACGATCCTCCAAATTATATCGTACCGTTCTGGTTCTATAATATTATTGAAATCAGTATGGTACTACCATATATTTAGATAAAGTACCGTACCGTACTGGTCCTATAATAGTAAGCATTTATATATAGGACCAGTACGGTACGGTACGATATTTTCTATTATTGTACCGTACAAGTTTGTTTTCCTTCCTTCTCCTTGGTTTCTATATGATCTCAATGATATTAATAGCGATTTTGCATTACTATTTTCTCATTAAAAAAAAAAAAAAAATACCTTAATAAAAATAAAATCAAGTGATTGTACGATAATTTCATAAAATATGATCGTACCGTACTGATCAGCCGAACCGTACCGTATACTCGTACCTTGGCGACTAAAAAAAAAATTTTAGAAGAAATCCACTTTTCGATGCTTTTGCTAAGAAGGTAACGAGGCGAAGTTAACGTAATTGCGCCAAAGGTCCGAGGCACTAAATGGCGCGGTATGCATGAATAATATTTGTATTTCGGTCGAAGCCACGTTCTAAATTAGAATTATTAAACTGTATTAATTACCAACATAGCCCATTTATTTACATAAACGATAAGCCTATCGTTATAACAAAAATCCGCCATATAATAACTAACTTCTGGGTAGACGTGAAAAATTTTGTCCATTAAAAAAAAAAATATTCATTTTTTTTTAAAAAAAAGTCCAAAAACCTAAAAAATTTTCTCTTCAGATGGTTAAAAAATTAATATAATTAAGATAAAAAAAAAATTTAATATATTTAATAATTTTATAAACCTTGTGAATGATTCTAAGGAACTTGATCCCAATAATTTTGAATTTTAATTTAAAATGGTTGTCATAGGAAGAATTAAATATTTGTAAAAAATTAGAATTCTCTAATGCATGCTAATAATCAAATTGATTTAATAGCAATTGATCCAAATTGAAATTCTCATATAATATATGATTCATTTTTTTTAAAAACAAAAAGTTAAAAACAATAC